AAAATGCACGTTTCTGAAGGGAGGTTGATGTGGGTGGTCGTTAAGATTTTCCATAGGAAGGTAGCATGCCACAGCACAGTTAGAGTATATATTCCACAGCAACCGATACTGCAGCTTTGGCGCATTGTTCTTTGTTTGAAAACACATTCAAATAATTGGGTCAGTGGCTAACGATCTTCAGCAAATGGCGCATGCATTCACCGCTTACTTAGTTACCGGAGAATAACCGACATTTCATCTAGACGACAACGTGCCCACCCCGGACTGATTTCAGACGGGAGCGCCACTTCACAGTGAAACCTTCTGCCCGCCTTGCCTTAGAATTCCAAGACAAGCCGTTGCAAACATACTCATCTTTTCAATCAGATCGGCAGGGAGTCACTTCCATGTGACTTTGAATACTCCTCGTCACGGTCGGCCAGACGTGCGCTCATGGCTCAGTCGGTAGAGCGTTTGACTCAGCTGTTCGATGACCAGCTGTAGTCTGATTTAAATATTTGGTTGAGGCTGGGTTATGGCGGTAAATCAACCTGAAATGGCCGCACTAGCCTCACACACCTTCGCCAGTGTTCCTGCTAAATTATAAATTAATTTTATGCCAATTCGCTGATTGCTCATTTCAGATGAGGATCACATTAGGAGTTAAACAACACCTAAGACTCACACTTCCACAGCGGGGGCTGACGAGCGCAGTATAATCCGATCAACTCATCACTTCCGGTCGCCACTTTCGGCCAAGGGTCATTAAAAGTCAGTTCGCAATTTGTTCTGTTAGTGTAGACTGCTAGTATGCCAACGTTCTTGGACAGAATCTCGTGGACGGAAGGAGAAAACTGATAGAGCACTCAACCTATACGTCTATCGATTTAGCGGTCTCAACCTGAACAAGAATTAACCACCGGAGTCGGAGAAGACAGCAACAGACCTTAGAACCAATCAGTTATGAGCGTCCTTGAGCACGTAACCTTGAGGTAGACTCAATAAGCCGGGTGGAGCATCACCTGCTGATTGATTCTCTCCTTCTCCAAGTTCTTTATTGTTGACTTCCTCGTCTCGGTAGCCGGGACAAATAATCAAGCAGTTCAGTCGCCTCCTTTCTAGGCTTATCAGGTGCCTGCGGTCGAGTGTTTGTCCTCAAAATTATCTGTACCTAAATTAATGCAAATTGGGTCAGAGTTACAGTCGTTGCTTGTCAACGCGATTAACCGTCATAGTTTGAAACAAAACGCTTCAGGGATATGAAAACTGGACGTCTTAAAAAGGTAGCGATTAACTTTAGAGGAGCTCCCAAAGGCTGCTTAAATGGAACACGATTTAAAGTCAGTTCTATTCGTGGTCAGCTGAAACATCCCAAAGCAGCGACCAAAGATGGGCAGGTGTTTCTGACTGCAGAATCCATCTATAATCTGCGCACAACGTTATTATACTTGACTGGTCATTCTTGCAAAAGGTAACACATTTACACCTTTTGGTGTGCCCGGGGGGGGGGGTTGACCTCGCTTCCGTTGAAACATACAAGACGGCTGCAGGAGGAGCGGGTGGGGGGGGGGGGGGGAGGACACGTTTGCGGTGAGAGCTGATTGCAGCTCCCCGACGTACATCGCGCAATAGCTGCAAAAGTAGTGTTGGCGGGCCAGTACCCCTCCGCAGTCTCTCGCTCTGGACAAACATTACGCGGCCGCTGACTGGCACGCAGACATGCAATCGTTACACGAACTCTGCGACGGCCAGTTCTCCCCCAGTTCGGTGACAATTAGCAGTGCTGCTGAGGTGGGTGCGGACACACCGAGGGGCAGTTTGTATAATCCCAACCGTCCCCGCGCCCCACCGCCCTGCCCCGGCGTCCCAGCGCCAACCGCATTGCCACGCGAGGCCGTCAGGTTGTGTCCAGCGACGACGACAGCACCGCCCCTCCCCCAAACTCCCCGTGTGCGGGCTGGCAGCACCCAACACGACATGTAAACCCAGTTCTGTGGGCCCTGTGAAAGGTGTCTGTAACGACTCTGGCCGCGGCAGTGCGATGGACTAACAAAAGTAGTATCATGCCTGCGAGATTTGGAACAGCCAACGATTTAC